GGGGCATAAACTTTCCTTCCTCCCATGCAAGCTAACAGCCCTGCGTCGGCTTGAAGGGGCCACAGGACGCCCCGTTGTTTTTTCCTGGAAAATACAATTTCAACCCCTTGTTTGGCTTTTTTATTTGTTTTGTTCCCCCTCCTCAGCAGTTCTACGTTCGGGGGAGTGTGTGTGTGTGTGGGGGGGGCATATTAAATATCCAGTGCAATTCTACGGACAATGTGCGTGGGAGGGGGAGGGGGAGTAGTGGAAATACTGAAGTGGGTTTTGCCCACGAAACTTCATGATACCATTTACAACTTCTACATGTTTTATTAGTCTTTAAGGTGCTACTAGACTATTGCTTGTTTTTTACGTTTTTCCTGTTACAGACTAACTCGGCTACCCCTCTGCAGCTGTTGTGGGAAATACAATTAGTGATAATTATTCTAAGTGGGGGAGGAAGGGGGAAAGAGAGAGAGAAGAGAGGCATTTTCTGCCCAACCTATTAACCCCGAGCGTTTATGTTTATGGGACTACATTTCAAGCATTTCCCTCCAGACGAGATTCACAGATTGAAGGTGTTGGTTAACCCTAAATATGAGAAATACAACATTAAAAGGAAGAACAAAGAGACGCTATTAACAATGGTCTCTCATTCCTTAGGATACACGCTGTGAAATTAGTGGTTAGGGCTTTCCAAAAAACGCGGAAGTGACACTTGGAGTTTGACTTGCCTTTACATACAACTGAAGTACCAGAGTTTTACATGCAAGTTCAAATACAACTGCAGTGGCGGGATCATTGGTGGGAGCTAAATATTGAAGAGATTCCGTATGCTACGCTTTTCAAAAAGCTGTTCATATACCAGGTGCTTCTGTGAAATCCTACACGTAACGCTAACAAATAAGATAAGCATACGCGTCTAGCAGTGTTATTTCACTTTGCTGTTCTAGACAGCGTAAAAACGTCTTACCGTACTCTAACACGGGTATAATGCTGGAGAGCCTAGTATCACCTGTGAGAATATGATGGGAAATTATGAAGAGCCGGAGACCAGAAATGGAGATGTATAAATATGTATATATGGTACACAAATATATATGTGTGCATATACCTATACACACACATATATGTGTGCATATACCTACTCACACACATATATGTGTGCAGTTGTATGTACGTGTACCTAAATAAATGCACTATATATTTATTTAAAAAATTAAAATAACGAATAGTCTTGCATCACCTTATAGGACTAACAAAAAATGTGGATATCATGAGTTTTCGTGGGCACAATCCACTTCCTAAGATGAATGGAGTATACACACTCATGTGGGAATATACACATTTTGCAAGCATGTATGCACACATGCATTACTATATTACCTACATTAGTGTGTATAAATGGATATACGGGCCTAGGTGTGCAAAAATATATTGCAAACTTAACAGATGCATAATGTGTATATACACACACACACACATACACAAATGCTTTGCACACACACGCATCTATGAGCACACACCATTATAAATACATATTCAGTTGTGTGAATTTGTATATAAGCAGATATATGTACGCATAAAGGGGTGCGTGTATATGCATTTATGTCTATAAATGAATTGTGTGGACGTGGACCACTTACTCCATTAATCTGAAGAAGGAGGTTGTGCTCACAAAAGCTCATGATCCCATCTACAGTTTTTGTTAGTCTCTAAATTCGGTGCTGCAGGATCATTCGTTGTTTTTTAATTTTTTTCGTATACAGGTGTGTTTTATATATATTCAGTCGTGAGTATATTTAGATATAAGCATATATTTGAATGCATGCAGCTGCATAAATGTGTGTACATATATTCAGTCATATGGATGTATATATAAATAACTAAACTATAAACTAGCTGTCACTATCAATAGAATTCTCTCTATAGTTCTATATAAAACTCTCTCTATAATTATATCTAAAACTCTCTCGTTGCATATATATATAACACTATCAAGCTGTAGTTTATAAGGTTTCCTTTCTCTTAACTCAGAGAAGTTTCAGACATTGTCACAACTATTCCACGTTAAAATGCCTCCACCCCGCCGCTAGTTTGCCAGCTGCCGGGCGAGCGCGGGCAACACGCCGACGGACAAGCCACCAGAGCGGTCTGACGCATTTGGGCATTTGTGATTATTTTTTTATTCGGTTCGTTTCGACAGTTTTCTGAAGCGCGCCCGGGCCGGCGCGCACAGCGAGGGAAGAGAAGAGCTGCGGGCAAACGCCGCACCCGAAGGTAAACGCGCAAACCGCGCGCGTTCCTTTGACAGCCCAAATCGTGCCGCATCTTCCCAAACCAGCTGCATTTATAGTCGGGTAAAGGAAACAGCAGCAAGGCCACGGAGGCAGCCCCGAGACGCGCGTATTGCGCCTGACAAGGAGCTGGACAGGGTAGGGCCACGAATTTGGGTGCGCAGTTCAGTCCCATTTCCAGCGGAACTTTTTTCTTCGCCCTCATTCCCTTCTCCCCCCCTTTTAGGTGCCAGGCCCCCACAGATCCAACAAGGGGAGCAGGGGCGGCGGCAGCCCTTGTAGCTGGGTCATTGCTGCCTCACGGGCTGCTGCCGGTTTTGAGTTTGGCGACCACTTTCTTCTCTTTCACCCGCCGGTTCTGAAACCAGATGGTGATCTGTCGCTCCGTGAGGCTGGTGGCGGCGGCCAGTTTCCTCCGCTTGTCCTTGGTGATGAATTGGCTGCTGGCGTATTCCTTTTCCAGCTCCTTCAGCTGGCCCTTGCTGTAGGGAATCCTTTTCTTGCGTCCCCGGCGGAAGGCGCACGAGTCCGGCGGGTGCTGGGCCACATCTGCGCACGGACAGACGGAGAAAGAACAGCGCTTAGCTCCGGGAGAGAGACTAGCTGGATACTCGGGAAATGGACAAGAACGCCGCAAGCCAGGGCGTGAAACTGACACCAAACACTAAACACCCCCACCCCTTATCCCTGACTTTCTCCGGGGTAAAATGTCAGCCTGTGTGAGCCCACTGAGGCCAGGTGCGCAGAGAAATCTCTCTCGCCAGGCGCTGTGCTCTCTGCTTTTACCTTCAAGTAAGGCTCGTTCTCTCTGCCACCCCATTTAAGCAACAGGCTTAAACTGCAGCCAGGGAGGTTTAGGTTGGACATTGGGAAAAACTTCCTGCCTGTCAGGGTGGTTAAACACTGGAATAAATTGCCTATTGGAGAACAGGTCGCACAGACACCTGTCAGGGATGGTTTAGCCGGTGCTTGGCCCTGGGGTGAGGGCAGGGGACTGGACCTAATGACCTCTCAAGGTCCCTTCCAGTTCTATACTATGACTCGGTGCCGTCAATGGGCTGCCTCTTCTCCATGGGGAAAAGGAGGCGCCCCTTTTATGTTTCTAGAATTATTTCAACACAATCGATTCTTCCCTTCCGTCTGAATCAATACATTAAATAAGTTGCGAGGCTCCCTGCTGAATCAGAATTTCATTAATACCCCTGTTCTCCCTTGGATTGTGGCATATTCCAAAGCACGTGCTTGACGGAAAATATATCTACAGCCATAGATATCTATGTCTAGACAGACAGACAGAAGGGGTATATGCAGATAGATAGATAGATAGATAGATAGATAGATAGATAGATAGATAGATAGATAGATAGATAGATAGATAGATAGATAGATAGATAGATAGATAGATAGATAGATAGATAGATAGATAGATAGATAGATAGATAGATAGATAGATAGATAGATAGATAGATAGATAGATAGATAGATAGATAGATAGATAGATAGATAGATAGATAGATAGATAGATAGATAGATAGATAGATAGATAGATAGATAGATAGATCTTCATCTCCCACATACTCTCTTAGAATGAGTCTTATTTCTAGATATAGGTCTGACTAGGAATCACACACACACACACACACACACACACACACACACACACACTTAGATTTTGGCATGGTGCAGAGTCCATTACTGTCTACCCCTGAGGCGTTTGCTGGCTCACACGGCGCCATGTTGCGGAGCACCTCATTAGAAAAAGAAAGAGAGAAAGAGCCATGAGCTGCCGTGGTCAACCCCCACTTCCTCAGATGAGTGGAGGGTGGAGCCATATCGTGTTAGTCTCGGAGGTCCGACAGGACGATACGGACCAGCACCGCCACCCCCTGAGACGGATTAGATCCGAATCAGGGCGGGTTTCCATGTGTTTGCTTAAACCGCGCCTGGCACACTCGGTCAGAATTTCACCGGGCAGCCTTTTACTGACCCGGGATGTGCTGTGTTGCGAAAACCCGTCCATCCCCGGAGCGGCCCAGCCCCCTCTGACCGCTTGTCTAAGCTCCCTTCCTGGTCCTAGCCTGGGGCAACCGTGTCAGCTAAGGCACCTGCCTGGCGCGGCCTCCGAGAGCCCGGGGGTTGGGGGAGGGGAGGGGCGTTTACCTGCAAAGGCCGATTTCCAGAAGTGCTCGACCTGGCTTTGATCTTTGGGGCAACACATCTGGCTGTTCCAACCGCTGGTCAAAGCCCACGGCTGGGGGTAACTGTCCACGGGTAAAAGGGTCTCGTGTCGGGGTTCTCCCGGCCCCCCTAGGCTGGGGACCACAGGAGCCCGGGGGTTGGGGGAGGGGAGGGGCGTTTACCTGCAAAGGCCGATTTCCAGAAGTGCTCGACCTGGCTTTGATCTTTGGGGCAACACATCTGGCTGTTCCAACCGCTGGTCAAAGCCCACGGCTGGGGGTAACTGTCCACGGGTAAAAGGGTCTCGTGTCGGGGTTCTCCCGGCCCCCCTAGGCTGGGGACCACAGACACGTCCAGGTAGCCAGCCATAGGCTGGGGCGGGGGGGCCGCGGCGGGGG